CAATTGCAAACATAATTTGGAATCAAAGTAAAAATATATTAAAACAAATAAATAAATGTTAAGATTTGTGGAATGTGTATATGTTTATTAGGAAATGCATTAAATAGACTGTGTTATTAGATCGTATCTTTTGCCTAGTGGACTTCTGTAGGTAAAGTGACTCAAAGAGAATGTGGGGTGAGAGAGGGAGCAGCAGGGAGGGAAGTGGAGGCAGGTGGCCCTCTACCTTCAGTAATGGTGTCCGTGAATGATGAAATATTAATGCTCACTTGAAGCTTAAGTGCATATCTATTATTTTCTTCGTCTGCCATATTATGCAGATAACATTCATACTGCTCATGCTAAACTTTGGCCATAGTGTGAACAAGAGGAGGTTTGAAGACAATTGCAGTGATTCTTTATTCACATGTGCGTGTTGCTTGCTAGAACAATCTACTATACTTTAATAATAACGCAAATAAATCATATAATAATAATAATAATAATAGTGCTTGCAATCTGTCTCAGTATCCGAAGTGCATGTCACGTCTGGTTGTGTAAGGATGGTGAACTGTAAATGGAAATATGAAATTTTGGCAAAACTAATTCCCTTTCTAAAGTTATTTCTTTTTCTTTATCTGTAAAGGAATCAGGGCCAAGCGAGGGGTGTGAATTGACTGTTCATTTAAACAAAATTTCAATCAGTTGTCACTTCAGACATTTTCTTTTTTGAAACTAGTATGAAAGTAACAGTGTGAGTTGAATATTTTTTTAAATAAATTATGTGTGGTGGAGGAGACTTCAGACTTCTCTCCACCGCTTTTATTAAAATGGAAACATATTGGAAACACTTGAGGTCCCAATGCAACATTTCATATTCATTCGTCACAGGCGACAATGGGAGGTTTTCTTTTGATCTAGCATTTTGATATAATTATTGTATCGTGTTGACGAATGGCGTACATAACGAATTTTCAAAGCAATACACAATGAATATATAAGATAATAATCAATGACTACGACAGTTTGTTCCACACACACACACACACACACACACACACACACACACACACACACACACACACACACACACACACACACACACATATATACCCTTACAATATTTTCTTCCTTTAATAATTAAAGACACGTAAATTATCGACATTATAATATGTTATGTTATTCAATAATGGTAGGAATTAACAGCGGCCTTCTTTCTCCCAACACCTTCTCGCCCGCCTTCCCACCACACACCAGACAAGAACCCCAACTGGCCCAAGCCTTCCTTGTCCATGGATGCAACTGATAGACGATTGGATAATCTTTATGAAAGAAAATATATACTCCCTACAGTTAAGAGATAATGTTAGATGTACAGTGAATTTAGCTTTGGATATGGTGTGGTGTGGTGTGGTTTGGCTGGGCATCTAGCGTGGGCTAGCGACAAGAGCACTCGGCGCGGTAAGGTTAATGAATGTTTCTCTGTATGTCACCCAGAGAAAAATGCAAGACAAATTAAATGCATTATTTGAAAATCTTGGTCGAAGAGTCTAACGAAGACAAAAAAACGCTTCTCAGACATCCAAATATAATCTACATTCCTTCCCAAGTTTGGTAATTAGATAATTACAAACATGATGACTGTTTCCAGACTTTGCCTAAACCACTTACAACTATCCTGTTCTCAAAAGAAAAATTGATTCAAGGTCTGGATAATATACAACCTTTGCTACCACAAAAAAAAGAGTCGACAACACGCGTGCAATATATACCTACTTGACGTTCACCTTTAACAACTTTTCGAGAGAGAAAGTTCCCCTAGCGAATCAATGATTGATCTTCCAGGACTCATCGCTCACAACCAACAATTCCCCAACTTTGTGCAGCAAGTTCCTATGGCACCTACACTGCCTTTCTATATATCCGACTGTGAGAGGATATTTTGGGTGTAAATTCTTGTCCTTACGTTCAAGTGAAAGGGAGCTCCATACCTGGAGAAAATTAGCTACTTATTATATTTCAACTGTTTTAGTGAATGAACCTCCAACTTGCTGCACAATCGTCATATCAATATCGTGCGCATCCTGTATGCATAAATTTAGTTTAAAAACATGCAAATATTCAGTCACTATATTGTATATTTAAATTATTTTTGTTCAGAAGATCATGAGATTTTTAAATTAAAATGTTATTGACAGATAACAATTATTAAAGGTTTAATATTGGTGCAATGAATTCTTAATTCTTATGGTTCCCAGAAAATAATATTTGTAGTAAAGTTATTTTTAAATTGTTCCATTTAAATTATGCTTAAATTAATTTTTTTGTACATACTGTATATACAGTGTTGTAAACACACACACACACACACACACTACCAGTGAGCTAGGCCTACAACCAGGTGTTTCCTCAACATTACCACCATGACCTCCCTGACTTAGGCCAAAGTTAGCGTAACCGTAGCCCTGACGTGGCCAGTCAGTCCCCCTGGGATCACAGCTCCTCCAGCGACACCGTAAATCTCGTGACCCCAAGACACCAAGACATGTACTCCCAGCGACGACAGTGACCATCGGGCTGCAACTACAGTCAATGGTTGCGACCAGGTGATGGCGACTTACTCCACACAGGAACAAGACCCTCGAGCTGCAGCATCAGTAGATGACTTCGACATGCAGGACCAGGACCTGAACGTGTTCCTGTACACGGGTGACGGGAAGTTCGAGGGCCCGCCATTAAATGACAAGCAGGTGCTCGAAGGTTCTGCTTAGAAGTTCCGCCCCCCTAGAAATGTCAGAAACCGAGCAAACACTTCAAGCGAAGCCCCAACTTACAGTCTCCGAAATGGTAGTCATTAGCAGGATAAAAATTGTCCAACATAATGTCCTACACTGGTCCTTAATAGACGCAAAGAACTGTCTAACTTATACTATCAATTAGACCCAGACATTATTCTGCTAAACAGTAGTGGCAAAAATGACGAAAGTAAGCTGAAAATGTTGAGCTATGCTGTATACCAGAGGAACATAACGGGTGAGCTGAACGACGGTGTTACTGTGGCCATCAGGTCACGGCCGAGTCACAGATTTTTTTCTTTTCTTTTTTATGGGGGAAGAGCCCATCCGGGCACAGGTCATCGACCCACAACGGGGTTTAAGGTGCGAAAACAATAAGAGTAAAAAGAAATTAAAAATAGAAAAGAAAAAGACCATATTAATCTACACCACGAAGATGCCGGAAAACCAGCTTTTTAAAGTGAGACAGCTTGTAAGAGTATGGAAACACAGAAGAAGGCAGAGCATTCCACAGTTTGTCTGTGTGAGGAAAGAAGGGTGTATTATAACGGGTTATTCTAGTGTGACCGACAGCCACAGAGAAACTGTGGGCACCGCGGGCAAGACGAGTGTGACGAGCCCACTGCCGTGCCGGCGGTACACAAGATGCCAAATCCATCGAACATTGCCCGTTAAAGTACCTGTAAAAGAGAGAGAGTGAAGCAACATTGCGGCGAAGAGAAAGGGAAAAAAGATTATTAACTAAAGGAGGAGAGTTAATAAGACGTTGTCTTTGATTCCACCCTATCTAACAGTTGGACAGAGGAGTCACCCCAGATATGAGAGCAGTACTCCGAGTTAGGACGAATGAATCCCTTATAAACTTGAAGCAATTGCTCAGGAGGGAAGTAGCTACGGCATCTGTACAGCATTCCCAGCTATCGGGAGGCAGCTTTAGCAATATTGTGGATGTGTGGCTTCCATGATATATTAGAGGAAATGGTGAGACGTAGCATATCTATTTTAGAAATTGGCAGAATGGTTGCGTCCTGAAATGTAATTGGTGGGAGATCATTTAATTTGGAAAGTGTAATTGGCAAATACTGAGTTTTATTGCTATTGAATTTAACCAAATTTCTACCTCCCCATTCGGAGATGCTGCACAGATTCACATTGATAGATGAAATGATATCAGCTCTAGAAACAGATCTAGTTTGAGAATTAGGGGGAAGGGAAAAATGTGAAGAAGAATGAAGAGTAGAATCATCAGCATAAGAATGGATAGAATTAGTCGTAGTGTGAAGTAAATCACTGATAAAAAGAAGGAAGAGATGGGTTCTCAAGGAAGCTAGAGATTAGAAAACAAAGTGGGGGAGAGAAATCATAAGAGGCAAGTTTAGAAAGCAAAGACTTGTGCCATGCTCTGTCAAATGCTCTGGAGATGTCAAGGGCCACGAAGAAAGTTTTCCCACAATCCCTAAGAGAGGATAACCAAAGATGAGTGCTGTAGGAGAGCAGATCACCAGTAGCTCTCGCCTGGCGAAAACCATACTGGTGATCCGACAAAAGAGAAGGGCATTCAAGGTGATGCGGAAAATGAGATTTTCAGTAGTTTCGAAAATCTTAGAGAGGGATGAAGTTAGGGCAATGTGGCGATAGTTAGAGGGATTAGAATGATCACCCTTCTTCGGGATGGGCTGAACCAAGGCTTGCTTCCAAGAAGAAGGAAAAGTTTGGGTTTTGAGGCAAAGTTGAAAGAGGCGAGCAAGCACAGGGGCCAGGGCTTCAGCACAGTCCCTCAGAACACGAGGGGGTATTCTGTCAGGTCCATGTGTCTTACTCACATCCAACCTGGATAACACACCAGCAACCCTATGGGTGGAGATTATAGGAAAGTGCATAGGTTCAGTAGGAGGAGTAGGGGTAAGAGGGATAGAATTGGAATCGTCTAAGGTGGAGTTAGAGGAGAATAAGGTGTCAAAGAGATTGGCTTTTTCAGGGGGAGAGTTGGCTATAGAGTTATCAGGTCGGAAGAGAGGAGGAAAAGAAGTAGTGCAGAAGTTATTACAGATGTTTTTGGTTAAGGACCAGAAGGATTTACTAGAAGAAGAGTTAGTCAGGACAATGGTCTTTCTTTTCATAAATTCCACTTGGCCCTATGATGAATAGCCTTACAATGATTCCTAGAAGTAATGAAAGAGGTGTGGGTAAAAAGAGAAGGAGATAGTTTCATAACTTGTTACGCCCTATCTCTCTCCCTACAGGCAAGAGAACAGGAGCGAGCAAACCCTGATTGTAAAGTGAAAGTTTTGGTAGAAGATGGAATAAATGCACTCACACCACCCTGTATAACCCCAACAATGCTGCCAGCACATGCCGAGGCGTCCAGAGTGGAAAAGCAATATTCATCCCACGGAAAGTCGGAGAAGAATTCTCGCAGGGATTGCTAGTTTGCCCTGGTGGTCGTGCCCATTTTGATTTAATAGAAATAAGTTTGTGATCAGAAGACCCTAAGGGGGCAGAAATTGAGTATGAAAAGTGTGAGGGGTTAGAGGTAAAACAAAGATCAAGAACGTTAGTAAGTTGATCGTGTCGATCAGGAACACTTGTAGGGTGTTTAATATTTTGTTCCAGATAATTAAGTAAGGAAAAAAAGAGTGCCTCAGCTCCACCTGGGTCATCCCTTGCAGAGCCAAGCCACTCTCTGTGATGTACAGTACATTGAAATTCCCTAGATAGAGAGGATCTCGGTGTTGGGGTGTGTGGACAGCAACGACTCATGGTAAGAAGTGAGATAGTCAAAGAGTTACAAATAGTTGGTAGAGTTGGGAGAACAGTATAGGAAACAAAGAAAAATAGTCATAATTGGTAGAGATATTTTGAGCCAGATGACATCATAAAGAGAAGATTCAAGATCCGTGAGTTGACCCATAGGTGTACGTGTGTTGCAGTAGGTGCATACACCTCTCTTAGAACGGAAAGATGTATAAAGGTTGTAGTTGGAGACTTGAAAAGGTTTAGGTGAAGCTGCTTTGGTCAGTTGAAGTTTAGATAGAAGTAAGAGGTCGGGAGAAGAGGTTAATAGATAGTGCTCCACAGAAGGAAAATTGGATCTCAGGCCGCGAATGTTAGAAAAATGAAGTGTGAAAAAAGCAGATCCTCCAGCAACCGCGGTGAAGTCAGTTGAGGCCCCACTAGTTTGATGATGATTAGGTCGTCACCTGGGTTCCACAACTTTCCCGACCAGTGGGACCCATCCGAGAAGGCCCCGCTTTAATATTACTGTCCACTGATAACATAGGAGAATAAAAGAGTAGAAAGAATAGAACAGATCAAGAGTGAGAGAGGTTATATATGTTGTGTTGTCAATAGTAAGAGAGACAATTGAGACCCTGCAATTATCTGTAAATGAGGCAGAAAGACAGATGAGCAACCTGGGACTTGGTCACATTTTTCGTGATACCCTATGGCAGCAGGGTCTACCATTAGACAATACATTATGCTTCCAATATCTAGGAGTGCAGGTGGAGACCACCAGGGGGTCTGTTATCATATGCACAATGTACACTCGCAACAAAAAGTATCGGTGCATACTATAGTGTGAACAATTTGAGACCAGTGACGATAGGTATTGGGAAAGGCGAGTTGTTCCAGCCGTATGTTGGCAGCCCTGTAATGCTGCTGAGCAGCTACGATGGCCTGGTCAAGTGAAACAAACCGTTATAAATAAGGTCGGAAAGTGATAAATAGACAGTATGAAATATGAGGAGCTCCCTGTTAACAAAATTATTTGTGATACTTGTGAATATTGCCACATTAATTTATGCTACCAAATAAACCACACAACCTGGTCGTCCTGAGTGGTGGTGCAGCGTAGACTGCCGCTCCGAGACCTGTCGTCTGTAGCACCAGTTCCGAGGTATCTCCGAATCCATTGTGCAGCGGTGTTCCTGTGGACACCAACCCACCAGCTAATATCTGTGACGCCGAACCCTTCGTTATGAAGGGCAATAATAGCTCTTCGTGTTCCCTCTGAGGTTTCCATGTCGTCTGGCATGTGTAGATCTCTACTGCTTCATATTGCCTCTGTTTTATACCCACGTTCACCGAGACCGAACCCTCGCTCATCATTCAGTCGACACAAAGCAACAATCCGAAAAGAGGAAACAAACACACTGATTGTCAGCCATATGGCAACACCTAGTGGAGGGGGGGGGGGTAATGAGGATACACTTACCAACCTTCCCGACATATCACAGTGTATACGTATCATTTCTGAAGTCATCTATCTCACCCTGCACCGATATTTTTTGTTGCGAGTGTACCTACCTCCTAGACGTCCTTATTTTCCCGAACAAGACCTCAACCAACTGCAGCACCACAGAAAACCAACATACATCATAGGAGACTTAAATGCGTGCCACGCCATACTCGGACACGGAAATGAGAACAACGTCGGTGTGGCGCTGTATGACAACATTGGAAGGGGAAAACTGCAACACCTCGGGCCAGATTTCCCGACATTGATCAGACGTGCCAGTGCCACAACACCCGACATAATCCTCTCTAACAACGAGGCCGCCCTGAACAGGCACGTTACCGCCGGACCCATCAGTACCAGCGATCACCTGCCAGTCGTCGTGACGCTCTCATCCAATCCCATTATGATCCCCGCTAACATCAGGTCAAACCTCAAACGGGCAGAATGGGAATCCCTTAAGGAGTCTCTCAGTCTCAAGCAGGGGAGTAACCTGGAAGAGGCCAACCCCAATGACATCGACGACGAGGTCGAACAATGGTACACTGATGTGAAGATGGAGATGGGCAACAACATCCCGACCACCACCCACAGGACCATTCCCACCCTCACACTATTCACCAGCTGAGGCAGCTCAGTGTCCAGTACGATCACGTGAGACAGCTAGCCAGTATCCGCGGGTGGACGCAAGAGCTGAGAGACCAGTACTGACAGCTATAGACGGACAT